GATGCTGAAACACACTTCTGGTACTGTTATGCTAAAGTATTTATTTTCATTAGAAAAATATGATAAAGCTATATTTTACCCACAATGATGCCCTTTAAGAGATTTCCCCTCTCAAATCTGATATCGACCTTTGACTTGCTTTCATCAAAGGTACAAAAGCAGCTGTGTTGCTGCTCAACTTTTGGTCCCATGCCACAAAAGGCCTTATAGCTTTGGTCTGGAAAACAGATCCCAGGTGAAAAATTCTGACTACCGTTAGGAGAGAACATGTGGAGGAAAAAAGGCCCTGGTGGACAAAGGAGAAGTAGGAAATCAGTTGACAGCAGTTGCAGTCATTCCCAGCTGAGGTCCCAGATGATAATGCAGAAATGTTCAACAACCACCAGAAAACCACCAATCCATCCCCTTAACCCCAGCCAAGCTATCTGAACCAACAATACATGAAACAAAAATGAGCCACTCCTGGTCAGTCCTCCTTAACCTACTGAAGCATAACAAAATAAACAGTAATATTTTAAGCCAGCAATTTTTGTGGTACTTTGTTTCACACAAATAATCCAAAAGAACTAAATGAGATAGCAGTGTAATGAGATAGCAACATGAAGTGGCCGGCAGGTATAGTTGTTCAATATATGACTATTCTTTTCCTATTCAGATGTGACCCTAGCTTGAGCTTCCAAGAGCAATTTCTATCGCTCCAAGCATAATAGAATTGACAGAACTGACTTCTACTCCATAAAAAATGCATAGCAACCTTTCTGCTGGTGGACTGAGCATCATCAGTCTCTCTTCTAACTGCCATCATGTCTAAGTCAGAGTCTCCCAAGGAGCCCAAACAGCTACAGATGTTCTTCATTGGAGGGCTGAGGTTGGAGACAACTGATGACAGTCTGAAGCCATTTTGAGCAATGGAGAACACTCACAGATTGCATGGTAATGGGAGACTCAAAAACCAAGTGTTCCAGGGGCTTTCAGTTTGTCACTTATGCCACTGTGGAGGAGATGGATGCAGCCATGAATGCAAGGCCACACAAAGTGGATGGAAGAGTTGTGGAACCAAAGAGAGCTGATTCAAGAGAAGATTCTCAAAGACCATGTGCCCACTTAGCTGTGAAGAAGATCTTTGTTGGTGACATTAAGGAAGATACTGAAGAACATCACCTACAAGATTATTTTAAACAATATGGAAAAATCAAAGTGATTGAAATTATGACCAACCAAGGCAGTGGAAAAAGAAGGGCTTTGCTTTTGTAAACTTTGATGACCATAATTCTGCGGATAAGATTGTCATTCAAAAATACACACTGAGAATTGCCACAAATCTGAAGATAGGAAAGCCCTGTTGAAGCAGGAGATGGCTAGTATTTCATCTAGCCAGAGAGGTCGAAGTGGTTCTGGAAGTTTTGGTGGTGGTCATGGAGGTGGTTTTGGTGACAGTTTTGGTTGTGGAGAAAACTTCAGTTGAGGTGGTTGAGGTGGCTTTGGTAGCAGCCATGGTGGGGGTGGATATGGTGGCAGTGGAGATGGCTACAATGGATTTGGTAATGTTGGAAGCAATTATGGAAGTGGTGGAAGCTATGATGAATTTGGCAATTACAACAGTCAGTCTTCAAATTTTGGACCCATGAAGGAAGGAAACTGCAGGCAGAAGTTCTGAGCCTTATGGTGGGAGAGGCCAATATTTTACCAAACCACGATATCAAGGTGGCTATAGTGTCTCCAGCAACAGCAGTAGCTATGGCAGTGGCAGAAGGTTTTAAACACTTCCAGGAAACAAAGCTTAGCAGGAGAGGAGAGCCAGAGAAGTGACAAGGAAGCTACAAGTTACAACAGATTTGTGAACTCAGCCAAGCACAGTGGTGGCAGGGCCTAGCTGCTACAAAGGAGACATGTTTTAGACAATGCTCATGTGTATGGGCAAAAACCTAGAGGACTGTATTTGTGACTAATTGTATAACAGGTTATTTTAGTTTCTGTTCTGTGGAAAGTGTGAAACATTCCAACAAAGGGTTTTAATGTAACCTTTTTTTGCACCCATGCTGTTGATCATTAAATGTAATAGTCTGATGATGATGCTGAATAAATATGTCTTTTCTTAAATGTGCTGTGTAAAGTTAGTTTATTCTGAGGCCATCTTGGTTAACATGCCCAGCAGTGTGAAGTTAGAATTCCTTCAGAGTGATGCCAGTTTCCATTTAAAATTTCTTTACATTTGCTTGATTAAAAAAGTCATTGTCTTCAGAAACTTTGGAGTAGTTGAGCTGACAGTTACTGTTGTGACCTCTGAATTTGACCATTGAAAAGGTCACCCAAGCAAACAGTCAGCTACTTGGTTATAAAAATTATTGTTGGCACATCCTATATATCTAAATTGAATAATGGTACCAGATACTATGATAGATGGGATGGAAGCTGTGTATAATTCATTATCATGTGTAATCAATAAACGATTTAATTCTCATGGGAAAAAAAATGCATACAAGTTACTGTGCCTCCTGCACTATAAAGGGACCCATTGAGCCTATACAGATTAAAGTGCAACCCCATTTTTATAGCTGGGTGCCTTCCTTTTGTTTAGGCTGAGCCTATGCAATCTCTGAATCAAGCTTGTAGTGAAACTAAAGCCTTGGTTGATGGAGTAATGTAAGACTAGATAAATCATAATTCTTTTCACTAGTCCTCAAATCTACATGATACCAGAGGCACAAAAAGGGGGAAATTAACATTTGAGGACTTCCTACATACCTGGCATTGCTCATAACGGCTCAGTGAGGCAGGTACTATTTCCCCAGTTTTCCAGATGAGGACAATGAGGCACAGAGAGGTTTTTGTCAGTTGTTAGGCTCCCTCATAAGTACTCAAATACTTCATTGACAACAAGATAATAATTAGGGGGCCTTTGAGATCAATACTTATGCAAAGAAAGATTAATGAATAATAGAGAAAGAAAAGCCAAGGAGACAGGATCTGATAAAGGGACATGATGAACTATGATGCAGTCCTAATGGCAACCACCACACTCCTTGTATAGAGTTCTAAAGCTGAGATGTCCTTTGGAGTTCTTCCCTGTTTGTATCTGTATAGAGGACCAGGCCTTATAGGCCTGCAAGATTCAGTCACTAGATACCTAGTCTCCAATTTTAGATTGAGAATTATTTCAACTACTTCCTCCATCAAGCCATTCCCAAAAGGAGAAATATTTAAAGAGAAAAACTATGTTGGAAAAGTAAAAATAAATGGGCTCTGGAATCAGAAAAATCTGACTCCAGATCTGTAATTTTCCTTTTCCGAGTTAATTCTGGATATGTTACTTAACTTCTCAGTTTGTTTTTTTGAAAATTATGATAAGAACACTTAACTTTTAAGGTTGTTTTAAAATCAGTTGCAATCATTTGTATAAAACATCTTGCATGCAAGCCTGGCACTGATTAGGTACTGAGTAGATGAAAGTTGTTAGGCTATTTGGGTAAATTATTGCAGCCTGATGATTGGCTTTCTCATTTTTAAGTTGGAATGAATAAAAGCAAAATGCTATTCAAAATAGTATACGGTATTACATCTTTTATGTTAATTATAGTACACAGTAGCACTCAGTCAGCATTACTCCAATGCACAAATGTTTATTTAAAAAGATTTATACAGACATACACTCAGTTTCAAAGAGCAGAGGAACCTTCTATATTATGAACACGTATACTGTGGCAACATAAAATTACAATGAAGGAAATAAGGAAAAACATCTCCTTGTCCAAGTCAGGGGCCAAGGTTTGGGACCAAAGATTTTCAGTCAGTTTGTCCCAATTCTCATCCTTTAAGTCCAACAATGACTTGACTAGGAGACTGAGCTTTGGCAAAGAAGAGACCTGTGAAACTTGGGGAGATTGAGGTCTTTAAAATTGTTTATCTTTAAACTGTTGAGCAGTAATGTAATGAAGCCCCTAAATGAGATCCCTAAACCCCAGTGTCTTAGGCAGTGAGTTAGGCAGGACTTGTACAGCAAGTCCAGCTCTTTAATTTTCCTGTGGGAAACTTGTATAGATTAGTAAAGGTTAGAAGTATGGGGGAAATTATCAACAGATATCAGGACCCCCAGGCATACACAGCCTACTACATAAGAATTTTAGTGTAAAAGGGAGACTTGAATGGAGGGAATTATTGAAAAGGTTTGTCTAAGCTACCTCTGGGCCTTAAGGATTGAGGTAGGGGTGAGAGAAATATAAACACTCAGCCTGTTGGAAAATGTAGCAAGACTGTTCTCATTTCAGAGCCTAAGGCAAAGATATAGGGAAGGAAAACACTGGTGCTTTTTCATGGTAACAATATATGGGGTGCCACCAGTCCTCAGACCCCACATCTCTTAAGCTTCGTGTCTCAAATACATGTAACAGATATGGACATGTAGGTCTTTTGCCCTTCCCTCAATCCCAAACAAGGGGAGAAGCTGAAATGTTGGTGGAAAAAACCATATGCTTATATATAGTTATCAGCACCTGAACCTGCTTCCTAAACTAGAAATGCCAAATGCAGAAAGAAAGTAAAGCAAAGTAAAAGAGGTGTTCTGATTTTATCACATTAAATAGGAGAACTGGGCAGGATTGGGAAGGGTTTTTTCACATCATTCTGGCCAAGAAACAGAACAGAAGAGTTCCATGTGTCCCCTCTTTCTTCATTCATCCTGCTTCCGTTTGGGTTTCTTGGGGTTCCGGGACCGACTTTTGGCTTTGCAAAGAGGGCATATGGGTGCATTCCGGTGAATCTGCTGGTGACATGACAAGCAGGCCTGGGGGGAACATGAGACAAAGAAAGTTAGTTATTTCTAGGACATAGCTTAGACATCTGATTCTCAGGGGCCTAAAAAGCAGTTGTGATATCCAATAAGCATGGAGTAGTAATCAGTAAGAGACTTAAGTATAATTCAGTATTCTTGGAGACTACAAAATATAAATTATACAACCAAAGTTATAGAAGGATGCTGAGAAAGTGTATGCAAAACTGAAATACAAGGCAAAATGTGGACTACATGCCAATTCAACTTTATACTAGACCATTGTCTAAAGTTTTGTAGGACAGAAATCAGCAAACTTTTCTACAAAGGCCAAAACAGTAAGTATTTTAGATATTTCATATTACACAGTCTTTAGGGAAGCTAATTTATTTCAGCTTTCCTTTCTTTACTTGAATTCATCTGTTCCTTAGGTATTTTCAGAAACTACTTTGTAATCCTGATTGCTCCCTCGTTAATGATGCATATTCAGTATATTATTTGTATAAAAGTTATATTTCTAACTTTTAGAAAACTATACTTCAGGAGAGACTGCCAACCATCTGGCATTTATTTAATCTACTCTGGGAATGTGGGACAACAATAATGAGAGACTCAACATAGCACCCCTTTCTCTGGCTCAAAGGCTAGTTAAGGGAAGTCCGCAAGGGTCAGATCTCATAGACCTTTCATGGCAGGATATTTTGCTTCCTACAGAGCCCTTACCTAGTTCACATACCTTCATAGGTGGAGGTTGCTGCCTGAAGGTGGCTGTCTGCCGAGTGTCCTGTTTTCTAGCCACTTGGAGTTGTTGGGCAGCAGCAGCTGCAGCGGCCAGGGACTCAGGGATAGGGGGCTCCTGAGGCTCAGTCTGCCATTCTGCTTTCTGTTTCTCAAAGTAACTTTGGAGATGAGAGACACTGGCTGCATGATTCTGAAAGCAAGGAAAACTTTGCCCCATTTTAAGATTTCATACTAAGTACCAAGGGTTAGATTATAGTTCACTTAGGAAAGTTCCTAAACCCCACTCGCTGTGAGCTTCTTTTCCCTAGGTATGAGGTCCATTATCTGCTAGGAACATTAACCCTCCTTTTACCTTGGCTCTGATAAACCTAAAATGATCAAGGAATTTCAAGGCTAGCAGGGTTCTCTATGGCCATTTTGTTCCATCCTTCATTACATGCTCTTAAAGCATACTCAGGCCTATATCTTTGCATATTTCTAGGACTAAAAAGCTCAACACTTCCTCAGGCAATCTGGTCTACATTTAGAAAATGCCTTCTTCTATCAGGCTGAAATCTGTCTACCTTTATTGTGGGCCTAGTTCTTAACTGTAGATCACAAGATGAAGTCCTAGACTAGCTCAAGGAGACTATAAAAGCTGAACACATTGGGTTTTTAAGGTTTTCTGGACATCTTTTTGAGACCAAGACTTTAGAAGTGACCTCTTAAAGATTCATAGTCAGTCTTGTCAAAATCACACAAAGAATTATAAAACATTCAGTAATTCTAGTTTAATCACTTTCCTGGTGAAAGAGCCCAAGATAGAGACTTGCCCAAGGTCATGTAATGATTCAGTTATTGACAGACTTAAGAGTAGGACTAGGTACTCTGACATTCAGGTCAGGATTCATGCCACTGTGTGTACAGGAGGAGTAGAAATAAGTCAGAAAGCTTACTCCAGAGAGAGTTTCTCCTCCTCTTCACACAAATCAGGAAGCCTCTGCAAGCCAAGAGTCATACGCAGAGCATCCACATGTTCCTTCAAGGGCTTATACTCATCATGCAGCCGCCTTGTAGACTCTAACAGCTTGTTTAGGTCATTCTCAGACTGTTTGATGGTGTTTTCCATCTGGAAAATAAAGTATAGTAGGTACAGAGAAAAGATCCCAAAGTTCAAGTTTTATAACTAAGTGAGTAAATTACACAGGCTCCAGATCTAGGCCAAACTATGTTGAAGTCCTCAACCTGCCATACCCTCTGGTCAATCATATTTCTTTGTCTCTATAATGGTAATAGTATAATAGTGTATACCTCATGCAATCTTAGTGAAGATTCATTGGTCAAATTTATACAGAGCATTCAATACAGAGATTAACAAAGTAAAGTCTCAATAAACAGTATAGTTCAAACATAACATCTGAGTTGGAATGATCTTTAGAATTCCTTTAATTCACCCTACCACCATTTCATTGGTATAAAAACCAAAACTCAGAGATGAGAGTATACTTCCAGAAATTTTTTCTAAAAAAACTATCCAGGGATTCTGTCACATAGACAAGCAACTAGAACAGTAGTTCCCAAAATGTCGTTGCCACATCAGCAGAATCATCAGCATTTGGGAATTCAAAAGTATTTCACTTTTCTTGATGCTATTTTGAAATGTATTATTTTGCTAATTCCTCTCTCAGTGATTTTTTTGTGTACAGAAATGTTATTTATTTTTGAGTGTTAACTTTTTGCACTGCCACACTACTGAATTCAGTTATTAACTTTAGAAGATTTTTGGTAGAGTATCATTTCCTGTACAATAATGTTAATTTAACTTCTTCCTTTCCTATGATTATTCCTTTTATTTTTTTTCTCTTCTGAGACTATTCAGGCTAATGTTTCCAGAACTATATTGAATCAGAGTGATGATAGTGGACACCCTTTTGTTATTTATGATTCTAGAGTGAAGGCTTCCAGTGTTTAACTATTTAGTATGATATTGTCTATTGGCTTATTATAGAGTGGAGTATGACAATTTGTGTTTTAACATACCTTCCAGGTAATTCTGATTTTCAAATCAGAGATTGATTGACAGATTTTCATCCCATCTGTGTGACAAATGTCTTCATTTCAGTGGCTCTGCACCCTTGGTTAACTGGCAGCAAAATTGTCAGTTTCTTATGAGACCCAGAAATCTGTATCTCTAGCACTTAAAATCCTAAGTATCTACTGTCTAAATATTTATATTTCTTTTTTTATTGATTTTGAACCAAACACATTATTAAAAATGTGTTCCACAGAGAGAGCTAATTTAGAGCAATACCACGTCATGCAATGTCATCATACCTGTATTTTACTGCTGGTGTTATAAAACTGTCATACTACCACGAAGTATCTCTTTATTACACATGGGGAAATTAAAGCCAAGAAAGGTTAACTTTACCCGCTCTAGAGCTCTACCAATTAGTGACAGAATCAAGACCAAAAATGTAGATTTTCAAGCTTTTTACTCAGCACAGGAAGTTGACAACCAGGAGGAAAAAAATCTATGAACTTGCTACTTTCTCCCATAATGCAAAATTCATTTGTGTTCTGCCAGCCTTCTTTCAGTAATATTTTGATTTCTTAAGAAGTAACATAGTAGGGACCACAGTACAACAAAGACAAAAGATGTAGTTTCCACTTGGTATTTTAATCCAGAAACTGATTAGAAAACAGTGGGTTAGGGGCCGGGGAGATAGCTCAGTAGAATAAGCTCCTCCCTGTCAAGTGCAAGAGACTGAGTTCAATCCCCAGTTCCAAAAAAAAAAAAAGTGGGTTTGTCCCTGAGAAGCTTGTTTCATTTTGGAGCTGATTCAATTTAGTTTCAGGGAAAACATAAAAGGAATGAATAAAATTAGAAAACAAGGAAGGAAGACAACAAAGGTTGTTATAACACTCAGTGGTAGATCTAGTCCCTGATATATTATGTAAGGCCTTGGGTTCAATTCCCAATACTGCCACCTTCCCGAAAAAGAATAAAAAAAAACATTTAAATGGTTGTGCTCTAAATCTTCTTTCAGAACATAATTAGCATAACCCTAATTCTTCTGGATGTCACCTCAAACAACAGAAAAAATAATTTCAAACACAAGATAGGTAATAGACAAAAATGGAACTACAGAACCATTTACTATCCAATTACAAGACATTAAATGTGATTAATTGTAAATAATAATCTCTTTCACAAACCTTCATAACAAAATACCATATTCCCTGTTAACAAGAAAAGGGATCAAATTTAACAAGCCAAAAGAGAAGACAAGGAGTCTGTCAAAACTTGTATAGATGGCACAAAACAGCCCTGACCTCAGACTCCCTGTGCTGAAGGAGTCACTAGCAGAAACTCCTCGGTGTACAAGCTGGACATACACAGAGTCAAGTGGAAATAAGAATGTTTCTTTCCCATTTAATCATCTTCTGAGCTCTCAGATCTTTCATCTGTAGCCACTTTCCAATTAGGACATTTGTGTGTCCTCTTTACTTCATTGTTAGCTATAGTAGGGACAATGGACTTTTTCCTCTCTTTTTCCTATTGGTTTTCTTAGTGCCTCTTTCCTAACTTTCTTCATCACTGTTAGATGCTGAATCATTTGACTGGGAAATATGACTTTCTGCACCTAAAAATAAAACTGGTTTTTGGAGGGACTTTTTAAAATTTTTTCTCACGCTTGTGTAGTTGTTTCCTCTTCCTGGTACTAGAAGCACTGGTTTCTTTTGAGAACTCACTTGAGGAATCTGCCGTTACATCTGTGACTTCCTTCTTGCTTTTCTTCTGTTTTTTGTGTGATCTTTTCTTCTGCTTCTTTTTGTGAGACTTCTTATGTTTGTGAGATTCATGGGCAGATGATTTTATCTGAGGAAATGTTTTCTTCCCATTGATAATATCCTGCTGATCATCACTGTCCCAAATTCTTCAGGCATAACTCCTCATAATCACTGTGACCCCATCTGTCTGGCATGTTAGCTTCATAATCATATAACTTCTTGTTCCAGGACTTAAGCTTAAGAAAATGACTTTCCAGTATCTCAGAAATTTCAGTCTTTGGTCTCCAATATTTTCTCTGACTTTCTTCACCAAATTCATCACTATGTATCCATCTTGAACTATTGGGCAACATTTTCCTTCTAGTTTCCTAATAAGGATCCTCCATCTGTTTCTCTTATTTTCCACATATATGATTCTTCCTGGATCTTATTGAGAGCACCTTTGTGCCTGATGACATTTCTAAGGAAGACCTGCCCCAGCGGAACTGAGGAAATTAGGCATCTTGTTAGTGTGAGAGGAGAAACCACTCCTTTACAAGATCTTCTCCGACCCAGGAAGCCAAGGGGCCAGGGCTCAGATGCAGCTCTGCAGCTTCAACTGACTCATTCCTTCGTGAAAACACAGGCTTCCCACTGGTTAACACGCCCACTCCCTTCCCACTCCAAGGGGCCAGTCTGCAACTGTCTTTCCCCGCCTAGACTGCCTGGCAGGTCTTGCTCCAAGATCGACACCTCAGGGAGCGCTGGCTCAGACTCTGCCAGGCCCAGCTAGTCCGTTTATTCCCAGGCTTGTGCTCGCTGCAATGGCCTTTATATTTCTTTTAACGCCTTAGGGCTTATAATATGAAAAAATGAGTATTGCCACAGAAATGGGCTTGCCAAAGGTAGAAGCTTAGCTCCTTTAAAAGTGATTTTTAAAAATTAGTTATATTCATAGATTCTAAGCATTGGAAATTATTTTATAGGCCAATACCGTTAATCTTCTTTGTGCAGGACTCATCAGCATAATTTTCTGTTTTAATACCTCCAAAAGAAAGAAGCTTATTAACTGCAATCAAATAATTTCCCATGTTCCAAGATTTTCAGAGAGACTCTAATGAAGGAATTCTACTTTGATAAACAGGCACAGACCATTTATTCAGTCTAGTTGGAAGCTTTGAATCAACACCTTAAACTGTGCCCCAGAGGCAGGTTCCGTGGTCTAATTTTCCCCAAGTTTATTATCTCTTACCTCGCAGACTCTCAGAATGAGAGCACATCATAGCTGAGTCCTTAAAGGTTACTGTATTCCTTTCATAGTGCTGAGAAAAAAAATGAGGCCAAGAGAGTAGAGACCTGCCCAGTGAAATACAGTCAATCAGTGACAAAGCCAAGGATTATCTCAAAACAAGATTCCTTCACTCTTCCATAGCCTCATGCCTACTCCCCACGGTTACCCAAAGGCACAGCTCAAGGAAAGGCCAGAAGACTCACTACAGCCTTTTTCTTAAGGGGCCCACAAGTTCCAGGCAAGCAACCACATACCACATTGATGTCAGCATGGATCAGTCGGAGTTCCTCCACATGGGCCATCTTCTCCTGTAACAAGAGGTCCATCTCCTGCTTGTATTCCTTCAAGTGCCGTTCCTCTGACTCAAGTGCCTCAAACTCAGCCTTCAGCCGGGCCTTGATCTTCTCCATCTGCAGGGTCTTATTCCTGCAATTCCCCCAAGGCAGCAAAAAGGCCAGCAGAAGGGGAAGGAAAATGGAAATGGAGAACAGAATTAGGCCCTGTTTCGGGAGGCCTTTCTTCCAGACTCATATTTCTATCATTACTCCCTCAGCAAAGCTATCTAGAAATTATCCCACAGAAATATTAGGAGATTCTTGTTTCTTAAGGAAAAAATATCAGTAGATACTAAATGGGATTTATTTTGTTCTCTTGGTTAATTTATAACTACTAGAAGAGTTTTAGGTATGAGATTTGTTCAAGGAAGCCCAGTCAATGGACGTGGACCAGAGATGCTAATAGCCCTCAAGGAACAGAAACATCCCAATCAACAAAGAAATGCTATCTAAGATGTGAACAGTGTCCTCTTCAGAAAGTCTAGAGAAACACTGTCCAGTACATTTTCTGCAGTGATAGAAACGTTTTGTGTTGGTGCTTTCTAACACAGTAGCCCTAAAATATAGAGCACTTAAAACATAATTCACATAGTGGAGAAACAGTATTCTGAATTTAATCTCAATAAACCAAATTATCAGGGCTGGCCAAACAGCTCAGTGGATTAAAGCACCTGCAAGCAGGTGCAAGGCTGAGGGTTCGCTCCCCAGGCCTGCCATGTTGGCCCTGCCCCCGAGGCACACTGAGACGGCATTTGAGACGGGGTATGGTGGTGCATGCCTGTAATCCCAGCTCTTGGGACACTGTAAACAGGCAGATCATTATGAGTCTGATCTAGTAGTGAGACCCTGAACACCCTGTAGACCCTTCCCTAAACTACAAAAAACAAACAAACAAAAAACAAACAAATTATCCATTTAAACACCACATGCAGATAATTGCTTTCATACTATACAGCACAGCTTATACTCGTAAGTTCCAGAATAGTGGGAAAGAAATTATTGGGGACCATTCCTTTATTTAGATAATATTTACTATGATTAAATTTCAATTATAGATCCACTGGTTTAGGGATCTCTCACCTGTAAGTTTATTCTAAGGAAGTAATTCAAATACACAAAAGGTTAATACACAGGGATTTATTTTCTGGGCTACGGCCAAAACTAGAATATTTGGTAGTCATTAAAGTGTTGCCATGTGAAAAATTTTGAAATGTGGTGCTCAGTGAAAAAGTATATGCACTAAGATTGCAAGTATCTGCAGTAGGATTGAAATTTCAAAATATATATGCATGTGATTAAACAAGAAAAGAAACAAGAAAGATGTAGCTTGAAAGCCACTTAATACCACTGGAAGTCTATTTACAGAAAGTGTTTGCAAAGTTTCAGAAATCCTACCCAAGGTATATTGTCTTTCCACTGGCCCCCTTACTGCCTCATTCTCTAACAAGATTAGAACGTTTTCGGGATAGAACCAATTTCTGCAAGTGGAGTCATATCATGAAAGGAACACACACTTTAGAAAATATGAGTATAAATCCTCGTTCTACTTTTGACTATTCACTTGCCTTTGGACAATAACAACTGCAATTATACTGTAATTATTGAGCATTTACTATGTACCAAACAAACATATTGAACAAATATTTATTGAACACCTATCATATGCCAGGCACAGTACTAGTGAGGAAACTAGACCCTGAACACATGGATGGAGATATATGTGAAGAAAGCATGGAGGAGATAGAGTACAATGAAAGGATTCAACAAGTGCCCTAATAGTTTGAATAATACGAGAGAGTCGGTGGGGTTGTCACAAGAATGTCTCCTCTAAATCTCTGGGTGAGACATCTAAACTGAAATCTGAAAAACAAATGTGAAGGAACTGGTGAGTGCAAATGGACATAGAAGAATGCAGTCGACGTAGACAAAATAGCATGAGCAATGACGCTGAGCAGCAATACGTGGCAAATAAAATGAATCACACAAATATCAATATGGCCAGAAAATCTCCTGCAAGAGGAAAGAGGGACAAGTGAAACTGGGAACGGGGCAAAAGTCAGAACACAGCACGGCAAATGAGATGACTTAAGACGAGTTAGGACATTCACTCTCAGCACAAGGGGGAAACTCTTAAAAGTATAACAAGCAGGTAAGTGACATTATCTAATCATTTCATCTTACTTTATTAGAGCTTGGTATCTTTATCAACAATACAGGCATAATCACAACTAATCAATATATTATGTGGTCAGGAATAAATAATCAGCTGTAAAGCCCCCAGGCAAACTATGTGGCACCTAGGAAGTAGGTAAAAATGATAGTGCTGGCTTGGGGAGATGGCTTGGCAAGGTAAGTATCTACCAGGCAAGTACAAGGACCCAGGTTCCATCCCTGGTACCACACACTGTGCCAGACACCAAAACCGGGCACGGTGGCACACACCTGTAATCCTAGTGCTGGGAGGCTGAGATAGGAGGATCACTACGAGTCCAAGCTGTGCAGCAAGACCCTGTACCAAACAAATAAATAAAATATTTTTTAAAAAAATTTAATGATAATTCTTTTCTCCTTCAGTTGTGCCCAACTGCTCTGCTATATTTGCCACCTTTATCGCCTTGGCTTGGACATTATAATAAGATTATAAGTTATATATGTGTGTATGTTTGCACACATGAGAACATGTCTATGAATATATGCACATGCTCCAGAGCAAGTAATCAGATATAATGTTGGTTATAAAATTCAGGTAATGACCATTAGCACAAGCCACCTTCTAATGCCAATATAAGTATTGCACACTGTGCCACACTTCCCATAGGTTCAGTACCATTGTTGTAGGGTGTTTGAAGATGACATTAACTTGTGGAAATTTTCTAGTTTCTTAGTGATTTTATCTTAGGCTAGATATGTGCTTAATTTAGTTAATGTTTTATCTGCATGGATTTTAATGATTAAGTTATTTTACTTCTTTACCTTGATATTATCAGTAACATTTGTTTATTTTTTGAATAGATAACTGGTCTGTGTCTCTAGAATAAACACCATCTAGTAGTAATATATAATTATTTTTATACATTGTTAAATTCTATTTCCTAATATGTTCATAGACTGTTAAATCTATGTTTATAATATGTATAAGTCTGTCATTGTCTTTTCCTACACCAATAATGGCAAATTTTAGATTTTTCAGTTAAACAAATACAACACTGTGCCATGAGTGCTATGCATTCAGCACTACTGCCTTACACTGCCTTTAGAAGAAGGTGGAGTCAGGGTAGTACACAAAGCATAAAATAAAATAGGAAACATTCTTTATAATGCTACTTTCTAGAAGACACTGTATATTTGTTAATTTGTTTTTAAACATTTGGAAACATTCTAAAGTGAAACCATCTGGGCCCAAACTTTCTGAACTTTTTGTTAGCTGTTAAGTTATAAATTTAATTCCCTACATAGTTATATAGCATTAGACAAATTATTCACAGACATAAAGTCATTGCCTGAATTATGAATGATTTCCATTCCAGAAGAATTTTTATAAGACTGACAAAGTGAGCCTTATCTATCTTTGACATAATAATCCAATCTGAAGTATAAAACAAAACGCACCTCCACATTATCACTGTTTTCCTCTTGGTTCTAGACGTTATAGGCTCTGATTGTGCTGTACTAATGTACACTAATGATCTGTACAGTAAGTACATAGCAGGATAACTGACATGTCCAGAAGACATGCAAACTACTTCCACTATTCATTCACAAGTATATAATGCTAGGTTCATTTGTATCTGTGGAAGTTCACAAATCTAATGTTCATAAGTCAAGAACTTATTGTATTTCTCTTTATGGTGCTTCACAGATGCTCTATTCTTTAAAATTTCAAAATTTCAGGTGGAACCAGAACCATCATAAAAAGAAGATTCCAAAAGAATTTAAAATGGAGGAGCTTATTTACAAAACAGCATGGGAATTTTTCAAGCAAAAACATAGAATTGTCCTCAACCCAGAAAGTCTACTCTAGCGTATAGTAATCAACAACAAAAACATACATTATGCAACTTGTACACAATACATTATTCACAATAGTTTAAAAAATAGAAACAGGGCTGGGGAGATGGCTCAGTGGAATAAGCGCTTCCCTGGCAAGCGCAAGGGCCTGAGTTCAATCCCTGGTTCCGCCAAAAAAAAATAATAATAAATAAAAAAAATAAAAAATAGAAACAATTAAATGGCCAGGAATTTAAGAATGGACAAAAAATACCCAGTATATCCATACAATGAATACTTTTTAGCAATAAAAGGAATGAATCACTGATGGGTGCTACAAATGGGACAGGCTTTGAAAACATGATGCTAAGTGAAAAGTGGTATAATTTCTGCTTTTCATGCATAAGACTATGGGTTCAACCCCAACAGAGTGAAAAGTTTTAAGAAATGAAGGTTGGTAGCAACCTGTGTCCAGCAAATGTATTGGCACCATTTCTCTATGTCACATTTGTCCATTTCTCTATGTCACATTCCTACACTATTTCAATTATTTTCATTTATGGTGATCTGCATTCTGTAATCTTTGATGTTACTATTGTGGCTGTTTTGGGGTTCCACAAACTGCACACATCTAAGATAGGAAATTAAATCAATTAATATTGCATATGTTCTCACCACTCCACCCACTGCTGTTCCTCTAACTCTCTCTCTTTTTCCTCAGGACTCTATTCCTTAAGAAACAACGATACTAAAATTGGGCCAATTTCTAACTCTAAATTGTGTTTAGGTGTTCAAGTAAAAGGTGCTGCTCAGTTTAAATCAAAACCTGAAAGTAGTTAAGTTTAGTGAGAAAAGTGTGTCAAAAGCCAAGTCAGGAAAAGTGGGCTTATATGCCAAACAGCTAAGTATTAAGTGTAAAAGACAAGTTCTTTTAAGAATGAAAAGTGATATTCTAATGGACCATATAGTTGATAAGAAAATAAGGTGTAATTATCAGTGTTATTAGAAAACGTTTTACTCATGTAGTTAGACAATCAAACCAGACACAACATTCCCTTAAACCAAAGCCTAATTTACAGCTATCCTTACTTTCTTCAATTTTGC